AGACTACGGTCACTAAGGTAATCCTCCAGTATTCGCCGCAAATACGCCGGAACTCGAAATCTTTCTCGCAACTGTTGTAAGATGTCCTCCCATCTCGCCGAGTTTAAAGCATTCTTCACGTCTAACGCCACCAATAGTACCAGCTTTCTTGAATGATGATTACCCGATTCGGCGTTTTAGGGAGTCCTTCCCAGAAAATGAAGACCCTACCAGTCAACTCAACAAATGGGGGACGAAGGCACCGGAGTCGCCCAGGTGAATGTCTACCACGCCAGAGCAATTTCGGCTGTTCTGGCAAGGATGTTTACCAAGGAACATCTGGGCATAGCTTTGGGTATACGGGGGGCACATCAAAGGGCTGCCAATTAGGGATGCGCAGGTAGTATGGGATTATGGGCAGCAAAAATACTAACTTTATTTTGCTTTCAGAGTGCATGACAAGGGACCTCACACCTGTCAGGGCCCGCATCAATGTTGGGGACAAGGACTTGGAGATGGTGCTCGCATCAGTGTACTTTCCGGGGGAGGGAGCATCCCCTCATCCACCGAAGGTACTTGATATCAAATTCGGCGGTCCGAATGTGGGGTTTCTGGTACGCGACTGGAAGGTATCGGAGGAGGTTTCTATGTCAGATCATAGAATCATCCGGTTATGTCTGGGTGGGTTGATGGAGGAGAAATCTTCCTTCAGAAATCCGTGGCGGACAAACTGTGAGGGATACAGAAGGGACCCGGATTCAAAACTGTGGGGGGCCTCGGTTAGAACTGTTTCCTGGCATCCCCTGGTGTTGAAAAGGGCTGTGGAGGAGCTCGTGGGAATTTTGGTCGAGGCTTTTGAATCGAACTGCCCCATTAGTGTGCCAATGGATTTCACAGATGCACCTTGGTGGACCCCACGATTGGAAAACCTGAGGGTCGGGGTTCGCAGGCTTTTCAATAAAGCTAAGAGAAGGTACTTGGGAAGAGTGCAAGATGAACTTGACAGCCTACAGCAAGGAGATCCGCAGGGTTAAGCGCAGAAGCTTTAGATCATTCTGCGGGAGCAAAGCGGAAACGCTGGCGGCTGTGAGGCTGCATAAGGCCCTGGCAAGAGACAGGGTGCTGGTGATTGCTTTTTTAAGGAGGCCGGATCGCGACTACACGGAGAACGAGGAGCAAAGGGCTCTTCTCTTCTGGAGGCGCATGTCCCTGGCAGTACTCCGTATGTCGAATACGTCGCGTGGGAATGCAGTGGAGGAAAAGATAAGGTGGGCTGTTGGCACTTTCCACCCCTTCAAGGCGTCAGGAGTGGATGGGATTTCACCATTACTTCTGCAACGGGGGCTGGATTATGCCTTTCTTAATAAGAATATTAAGGAGTAGCTTGGCTCTCGGATACATTCCCGAGTCCTGGCGGATGGCTAGGGTTGTCTTTATTCCCAAAGTGGGAAGAAAGGTCATGGGGCCCAAGCCATTCAGACCGATTCAGACAGAATGATAATCATGTCCGGGTGGGGGTGCTGGCGAGGAGGCTGCTGAGCGATTCCGGGCGCCCTGAGGCGTAGGAACGTGTATGATGACACCTCTCTATGGATGTCCAATATGATGGCTACGAGAGTTGCAAAGACTGATGTTGGGCAGAGCATCAAGGGATGCCCACTGGGCTCAGGCTTAACCCTAACAAGACGGCCCTGATACTTTTCATTAGGAAAAGGAAGCTGGAGCATCTGCGCACAATATACGTGTGTGGAGCGGCTGTAGAGAGAAAATCGGAGGTCAAATACTTAGGAGTGGTGTTTTATTCCAAGCTTTTTTGGCGAAGTCACGAGGAAGCTGTGTGTACACGGGAAACCCGGGCACTTATGGTTTGCAGGGCCATCTCGGGCAGTTCGTGGGGCTGTGGTGGATGTATACCATGATGGTCGTGCCGCTTCTAACTTATGGAGCAGTGGTATGGACAAGAAGGGTGGCTCTTGGTACGGCTAGAAGGAACCTGGATTTTGGTACTAACCCCTCTGCACCTTGTTGTGGAGATGGCAGCGAAGGATGATGATATGCTCTTGCTCTTAGGAGGGGGAATGTGTTGGGAGGCTTTACTCTAACGGTGGCGGAGTTACGTTTTGAGTATCCTCTGCGGCATTATGGGGCTGTCTTGAGAAGCTCAGTGAGTTAGGCAGATGCAATCGGGTCACACTGTGTTGGGTGCCGGGCCATGTGGGCGTGGAAGGAAATGAGGGCGCTGATGCGCTTGCAGGGAAGGGGGCAAACACACCTCTTCTTGGGCCGGAGCCCTTCTGCGGAATCGGACCACATACAATTCGTTGGGAATTAAGGAAGGAATCAGAAAGAAGGAGAAGTCTTCCGGGGCTGCGGAAAGTCAAGGAGCTCTTAGGAGATTATGACCAGAAACGATTTAAGAAAATTATAGGAATGGGCCAGAACCAGGTGAGAGTCCTCACCGGCATTTTGACGGATCACTGCAGGCTTAAGAGACACCTCAGTCGGCTGGGCCTGGAAAATGACGATACTTGAAGATTCTGTGGGGAGTATGGAGAGATCTCGGTACACCTCCTGGAGGAGTGACATGCTCTTGCTCTTAGGAGGGGGAATGTGTTGGGAGGCTTTACTCTAACGGTGGTGGAGTTACGGTCTTCTTGTCCTCACAAGTTGCTTGAGTTCATCAGGAGGGTGGGTCTAGAGCGTGTGTTGTAGGGCATGCCCCGCAGTTGGAGGGGGGCGCACAATAGATCCTTATACGTGGTCGCGGTGCACCGTTGCCTCCGTTATACAAATTTACAAATCTACAATGTGGAAGGAAACTTTCATTAGGCCAATCCATAAGAAAAACAATAAAAATGAGGTGTTAAACTACCGTCCTATAGCTAAACTGTTGGCAATTCCTAAAGTTTTTGAGTTGGTAGTATATGACAACATTTATTTCCATTGTATGCCATTCATTAGTGGGCGTAAGCATGGCCTCTTGAAAAAGAAATCCATGGTGACTAACCCAGTGGAAACCACGACAGTTTTCTCAAATAATATGGAAAATGGGTATCAGACGGACGTAATTTACACAGACTTTAGCAAAGCCTTTGACTTACTACCACATGAAATTATTATTTTAAAATTGAAACTCTTAGGATCCCATGACAACTTCTTAGCCTGGATAAAGTTATATCTCTGGTAAGACTTACAGAGTCCTCTTTCGTTCAGCAATTTCTTCGCTCTTTCATCTAATTCTGATCTACCCCAGGATAATCACTTAGGTCCACTGCTGTTCATAATTTCAAGAAGTTTTTTCAAGAATAATTAACATAATATATTGTGCTTTTTTCACAAAACCCTAATACAAATTATGTGTGCAATGCAATATTTTTCAAACCATTCCTCTATGGAATATTAATTTGTAGCAATAAAAATATGACAAATTTTTGATCTTATGATAGATTTTGATCTTTATAAAATTTGATATTTACGTACATTATTTAGGTAATCGCAACAAAAAGACAAATTCTGTGTTTTGAAAACCTTTACTGAATTTGTTAGAATAATAACGAATTAACATTATAATTACAACGAATTATTTAAACCTGCCAGTTTAATAGACTGACATAACAACAATCCCCTTTTTGGCTCTTTTCCAAAAAAATTTTGAAAAAATTGCTTACTTTATAAAACTTCTACACCCTTCAAAATTGAAAGCTGAAATTTTATATGTA